CCAAATTGCCCACTCCACTTGCTGCCATACACCCCCACACCATTACGCCACCTCCACCGTGCTTAACGGTTGGAGCTAGATTTTGTACGTCGAACGCAGTGCCTCTCTTTCGCCACACAAGCTTTCTCCCCTTGATACCAAATATACAGAATTTGCTCTCATCACTAAATATCACTTGGTTCCAATACTCTGGATTGACTTCCAAGTATTTTCTGGCGAAATCCATCCGTTTGATTTTATTTGCATCAGAGATAAGTGGCTTCCTTCGAGCAACACGGGCATTTAATTCATTTTTCTTTAAAAATTTTCTTACGGTGTCTTCGTGGAGCTCTTTTTTGTATTTCCCTTTAACTTCCTGATTAATCTTGGCTGCAGTTAATGCGGGGTTTAGCCGCACCGTCTTCAGCACGTCCCTCTTCTCTCTCTCGGTCAGCTTTGAGGGCCTCCCAGAGCGTGGCTTTGACTGTACTGAGCCAGTCAAATTAATGTTATTGACTACCCTTTGGACAGAAGACTGCGTTCTACCAACAATTTCGCCAATTTCCCTAAAAGATTTCCCTTCATCGCGTAATTTCACGATGAGTTTTCTCAAATCGGTATCAATCTCTTTAGTTTTCCTACCCATGACGAAATCTATCAACTTAATGACAAAATTTGCAAACCAACACGTGATTGACATTCTTTAATGCTTTTTTAACCGTAATATGCTGTTTAACGGTACTAAAAGCTTCACACGACGATTAAGAACAGTGGGTTTTTAGTTTGTACGCATACTTTTTCTAAGTGAATTTTCGTTGTTATTTTCTTATTTAAAATATAAAAAAAAAACTGTATAATATTATTAAAAAAAAATTGTTGATAAATGTGTGTTATTAAATAGTTTTTCACTAAAAAATATAATATTGATAACAATACTGATATTTATCATATTTATTCTCTATCAAAGTCGCACGTTAAGCCTGTACGCATAGTTTTTCTGGCAAGTGTACATATGTACATGCATATCATAACATCGTAAATTCGGCTACCAACCCAGTTTAAAATTATTTGTTGTATTTATTTAATTTTTATTGTTGAAACCTACTAAATCTATGCCTGCGATGCTCTAAGCAAACGCTTTAAGTTCTCCTGTGCCAGGGCTCTTTTGACAGCCATAAACAATTGCGAGTCAACAACTTTCCTTTGTTGCTGAACCAGCGGTAGTCGACTAAACCGTTTAGCCAATTCGGCCAGCTTTGGTTGCTGTTGCAAAAAGCTGTCAAGAATGTCTGGGGAAATATTAGCAATTCGCGCTAGCTCGTGAACATGCGGTGTCACGAGAGCAGATGTCCTTTTAGGAGTGCTGAGGTGTGGCGCCCCCAAATCGGTGGCGGATTTGCTTGTGTTTACGTTGTTGCTGACTGGGTCTGGCGTCTGCTTAGTTGTGTTGGGCCTTGGAGATAATACGGGTCGCAACGGAATAGGATAATGATAGGGCAATGAGTTCCGCAAAAGTACGGGTTGCAAGGCTGGTGCTAGGCTCTGTTTCTGGTTGCTGCTTGGGTGCACGGGTCCCACCAGCACATGCTTATATGGCAATCTGTCCGGCCACAATTTATATTGATTTATGAACTCGTTCACACCCTTCATTAGGCTACCCGCTTCCATCTGCGGCGTTGGTGTCTTCATTGTTACAGTTGTATCAGGCCTGGATGGCGTCGTATCGTAGTCGACATCAAAATCTGTATTATTATTATCATTTGCTTCCGTCTTATCCCCGCTATCATTGTTGGAATTGGTTGGCTCATAATCGGTCGACTCCAAGTATGCCTTCATGAGTGCTATACCTTGATCTGTAGAAGTCAGAGAGCGCACATATTTGATTGTCTCATCATCATTTCTAGTGCCCAGCAGACTCCCGAGATTATTTAGGGTGGGCAGCTGATCTATACGCTTAAAGCCCAGCTTAGTGCGAGCCATATCAATCAAATCCTTGGGATAGTCGCCAGCCACTCTTGATGCTACTGTGTTTGTGTACTTCATCGAGGTTGGATTAAGTGTGCTCGGATTAATAAGCTTGAAGGCGGGAATATTATAATAGAGTCCATTTTGTAACTTTGGATTCAATCTTAGCTTATCAGTGTCGACAATAATTGGACTGTCTTGCCTGTAGAATTTGGGCATCAAAGGAATACGGCCCCTGATACATTGCCACAGAGCCAAATGCAAAAGGAACTTCAGCAGCCCAGCGAACATTCTACTCAACACGAGGTTAAAAGAACAACTGATAAATCATTGTCGATTGACCCTTGTAGAAACCTAATCCGTATTCTTGTTTGCTACCTTCGTGGAATTCTCTTTTCTTGTTTCCACGAATGGTCGACGGCGTAGGCGAAACGTTTTATACCTGTTGGGCCATCGATACGATTTCCATTGAAAATTCATCGCCTTCGACTACCTGTATCATCAAATTACAGATGCCTTCTCAGAATTTTCAAACTTAGCGGTTATACATATGTATAAATGTTCGTTTGAAAAATTTCAATTTTAAAATACTAAACTAGAGTTTATTAAATATACATAAATCCCTTAAACTAAAGAATCTAAGTCCGAGGGGAAAATAAGTTGTACACTGAGCGCCCAACTACGCTTAGTAATTAGGAAATAGGCGAATTCCCTGTATATGGGAAACCTATATGTATTTACATAGTATCGTACATGAATTTAGCAGCGAAAGACAAAGTGCAAACTGGAAAGTAGTGTATGTAAATGTTGCTTGTGTATAAAATAGGACTGCGATGAGCATCGTGGTATTATCATTTGGACACGCCAACCAGAGCGGGGCGTATGCAACGTTCGTGTAGTTTGTAGCCGAGCTTGGTAACCTCTATAACCGTGTTTGCCTCAACAGTGGAGTCTTCTTTTTGGAACAATGCTTCGTGCAGATTGGGATTGAATTTTTCATTGATTGGATCAATTGGTTCTAGACCATGACGCTTGAACACCTGAAGCAATGAAGCGCGTGTCATACTTAAGCCTTCAAACAGATTCTTCAGATCGGAATTGCCGTTAAGCTAAGAGATAAGACCAAAAGTATATTACATTATGCGTTGTTGATGAGAACTTAATTACAATTACTTTCTCTTTAGGAACTGCTTGAGTTGCATGGCCAAGTGTGTCGGCTACTTCTAAGAGATCCTTGCAAAAACTTTGTATTCCAAAAATTTTTGCATCGCTTATTTGTTTGTTTAACCGTGTGCGCATATTCTCGCTATCAGCCAGTGCACGCTTATATTTGTCTAAAAGTTCGCTGTTTTGCTCTTTAACTTCCGCCAACTCTTGCGTCAGCCGCTCGATTTCCAGTGATTGTGGCACTTTTTTCTGGTCCACGGGTGTAGCATCGTCAGCTATGGCTTGCTCCTTTTTTTCCGTTGTATAACCCCGCAGCAATTGTGATTGGGAATGGCACAGCCAGCTGTCATGATTTGGTTACAAGAATTGAGCGTCCATTATTACGTCACAGAAGTGAACCCATGTGGTAGCGCTCACCTTATGTTCTTTATACAAGTCGTGGGTACAAAGTTGCCTACGCGATTAGCTAGCATTTTCATAGTTACAGACGCTTTCGTTGCCATTGAAGTTATTGTTTTCTTAAAAAATATGCAACTTTTAACAACTCTTACAGTCACAATGCACTGAAATAATTTTTGCCTCAGCGCTTACTGATTAATCGAGAACACAAACGATATACATATGTACATTCAAAATACCAAAAACTGAACTGGTATTTTATGCACAGCATTGAGCTTTTTGAGCTTACTGTGAATATTCAAATAAATGATAATATATTTATATCAATGATATAATAGTTGGAAAACACAGGTATGTATTTATTTTATTAACACCAAATAAGCTGAACGGACTGATTGGTTTAATTTATACACAATAAATTTGTAGTTACAATGGATTACCTTGAAATATCTATATTTTTACATAAGGTGTACGCCTGTTTGCCGCAGGGTGAACGCAATCAATTATATTTAAAAACAGCATACAGTTACGCCTGCAACTGTAGAAAATTATTAAGACTCGCTACACATTTTCTCACTCGTATACAAAATATACGAAATACATATATGTACATATATCTATGATTACATATGTATGCATGTACATACATACATATGTATGTAGGTAGTCTTTCTGTTGAGATCAAATGCAAATATTCAAGTATACCCTGTAACCGTATATTATACAACCGGGGATTCACTTTTGATTTAACTTTAATACTTTCTTGATACTGGATGAAGATGAACATGTTAATTTATCTTTCGCATCAGTGAATAAAAGTGTAATAGCTTATTAAATGATGTAGAACTGTGTGCGCGGTATATTCTATTCGAATACAATAGGAGGCTGCATTATTGTTTCGAGTACGATCTTTAAAATTCAAAGTACGAGTATGTGTGCTTTTTCAATACAGTACTTTACATATACATACATGTCCGTGTTTGTGTATATTCACGTACGTATGTAAATAAATGTTGTATTCAGGTGATGTATATATTATATAAGTTAAGGCATAGGAACCCATTTAGTTGAAACTTAACACTGTGCCAGTGAAGTTGCGATCACATTTATCGTAAAACAACGATTTTAACCATCCTGTCAAAATGAGCGACGAAGAGATGCAATTGGCTCTCCAAATGGCAGCCAACTCCATATCTGTAGAGGATGATCCCGATAGAAACGAAACACAAAATTCTCCGAAGCCGTTGAGGAGAGCACGCGTTTTAGATTTAACTGAAAGACGTAAACAGTTTCGGTAAGTAAAAAAAAAAACGAATTGAAAGAAACTAACACAAGAACATTGCAGTGGTAGCTAAGTTTTGCTTTAATTCTGAAGAAAATTCAGTTTTTCCTTATTTGTCACGCCCCTCGTGGCGGTAGACAACTCATTTTTGGCCAGTTCCTAGAATGAGCTGACGGTACCGTAACTGCAAAACTTGAATGCTTACGCTTAAAAAATGTTAAAATTATGGGGTATTTTTCGATTTAGCACGCCCCTAAGGAGGCGTAACAATTATTTTGGGGCTATCGATAGATAACCAATAACCAATAACTCAACTATCCAAATTTGAAGCTTCTTGCTCTGAAACGGTAGGATATATAAATTCTTGCGGTTTTGACGCCTATATATATATAGATATATATCCACCATAGCTCTTTGGACTTGAGTGGTTAACCCAACATTCACTTTCGTGAATAAGTAGAAAAAGACATGAAAACATAATACCAGCTGTTAAAAGTATGCAATATAAATGTTAATGTCCACCTTAGGTATTTTTGGGAACCTATGTATATGTTTTTATTAGCATTTTGCCGGATGCAGTCTACAGTCACATTTTTGTATTCAATAAAAAAAATGGTTTGAAACTCTTTGCTGTGAAATTTTATAATGTCTACGACGCCAGAATCGTTAAAATACAATCATGTAAAACAAAGTCCGCGACAGCCGCAACAGTGCCATAATGTTAGCAAAAGGGATTTATATGACAAAAATGCTTCCAGCACAGCCTCTGACGACGTCATGAACAGCAGCTGGTGGTGGTGAGCTTTTTTGTCTCATTTGTCATGACCCGCTCATCTGCGCATAAAACAGATAAATGAAAATGCTTCACATATTCGCTATATCAACTACACTTTTTTCATTAAAAAATCCGTTTCTTTAAAATCATTGGTTAATAGAAGAAACTTTCTCGCTTTTTTTCTTTGCAGGCGTACTCGCAGCCTAAACGCACCGTCACCGTTTCAGCAATTTGGGCCATGTGGGGGTATTATGAAAAACTCGGCAATGGTTATGCAAATCCAGGATCCAGCCAGTCAGCGTCTTACATGGTACAAGCCCCCACTCACTGTGCTGGTCATCAAGAAAGTCTGCGATGCCTCCGTATTAACGCCATTCGTACAGCTGGTCACTTGGTTGGTTCAGGAGAAGAATATGGTTGTTTGGGTAGAATCTGCAGTGCTAGACGACATTACTCTCAACGAAGACCTACAATTTCGCTCCGTTCGCGACAAGCTCGTGACTTTCAAGCAAGTTTTTAGATTTATATAAAAAAAGATTTATTTATATAAAAAAAGATTTATTTCTAACAGAGATGGTCGGGATGATCTTACAGACCGTATCGACTTTATCGTATGTCTCGGTGGTGATGGCACACTGTTATATGCTTCGTTATTGTTCCAGCAATCGGTACCACCTGTGATGGCCTTCCACCTAGGATCTCTAGGCTTTTTGACGCCATTTCGTTTTGATAATTTCCAAGAACAACTAACCAGTATATTGGAGGGCCATGCAGCGCTTACATTGCGTAGTCGGCTACGTTGCGTTATGCATCGAAGAAGCGAAAATCGCCACGGGTTTGAGCACGCGGGAGATTCGTGTGCCGAGCCACCGTCCCCCTTGGCCAACAGCATATTAGTATTGAACGAAGTCGTAATTGATCGCGGCCCATCGCCGTACTTAAGCAATATTGATTTGTTTTTAGATGGCAAGTATATTACGTCGGTGCAGGGCGATGGTTTGATTGTGTCCACGCCCACGGGTAGCACGGCGTATGCGGTGGCCGCTGGTGCCTCCATGATACATTCTTCCGTGCCTGCCATTATGGTAACACCTATATGTCCGCACTCGTTGAGTTTTCGACCGATAGTAGTTCCCGCAGGTGTTGAATTAAAAGCAAGTACTAATAATAATAAGCTATTAGAAGAAACTAAATATGATTTGAATGAATGCGCGTTTTGCAGATTTCAGTTTCACCTGAGAGTCGAAACACTTCATGGGTGAGCTTCGATGGTCGCAATCGGCAAGAGCTCTTTCATGGCGACAGTCTGCGCATAACCACGTCAATTTATCCCGTCCCCAGTATTTGTGCCCAAGATCAAATCTCTGACTGGTTTGCGTCTCTGGGCGATGGACTGCATTGGAATGTGCGCAAGCGTCAGAAATGCCTTGATGAATTATCAGACTTAACTGCATCTGGATCGGAAGATACATTCGATGAGATTGAAAATACAAAATTGTATGATGTGTAGTGCGCAGAGACCCCCATTTGGACAATAATAAGCTTGTAAGCTTTCACTGTAGTGCACATTTGTGCAATCTCTTTCTGTTTATGTGCCTATAACTTAATTTAACATTATTTTAATATTTTTTTTATATTGTTTGATTTTAACGACTCGAATATTTTGAAAAATATATAAAAAATAATCTATTTACACTGTCTCTGCTGAGTTGCCCATGCGCAGCATGCAACGAAATACTTCAGTTTAAGTGAACATTAATTTTCGTTCCTGTATTTATATATAGGTGTATATCATTTGTCATGTACATGGTTGGTTACATGTTGCTCACCTCGGCTTAATATGTTTGCACTGCTATAGCCATTCTATTAGCAGTTCCGATGATACGCATTTGGGCTTATCGAGCATCAATTAGAAGGCTTTTTGTCTAGGCAAAAAAATAAAGAGAATGGCTAATGCTTCGCAGGTATACATAAGATATATATACACTTGCACACAAGATTTTTGCCATTGTTTCATGTTTTAAGCAAATTTTTTTTACTGTGGATTGTTTTTGCCTTTTTTGTTAACAGATTCAAGGTGTGCGAATCAATATCAAAGTATGTATGTGTGTGGGTCGTGTCAGGTGTGCGTGCTTATCTAGTCATATGAAATGCATAAAATCTCGAAATATAGGCGTATGCTATAGTACACTTTGAGCGGTTACAGCGTGCGGTTGTGTTTATGCGTAAAACTTAAAATTTTTTTAATATATTCCTGTTATTAAATTGAGTTAAATTAAAATCAAAATGAATGTAAGGGATATGGAACGAGCTAGACAAATGTGTCAACATGGTTCTGCAGTGCCTGTACTGAAAACAACAGTTACTACACAAAATAATCTGCAAATGGGTAGTTTATACGACAAGCGAAATCAGTTTCGGTAAGCATAACTATGCTACTTTTTTCACAATCAATCCGTCCTTGAACTGTTGAACAAAATGAGTTTAAAAATAACTGAAGCTCTGAGTGATATAGCAACCAGTTTGTATTCGATTTGTATGATATCGATAGCAGCACTGTCTACATTTAAGAAATAGTTGTAAGAAAAAAATGATTTCCAAATATATTTATATGATTTATATTATTATTATTATTATCAATAATAAGCGATAAATATGTTACAATTCAATCCAAAATCAGAAATGAATAATCGATATGCGTTTCATAACAGCTGACTTATCGCTGTTAAGTTAATATATATAACTTGTTTAAGACACCGACTTCTTTTGTTATGTAAAATTTATATGTAGTATGACAAAACTATGCAAGCTAACAATTTTTCCCGGATGTATCAGTTAAAAAAAAGTGCCTAAGTCGGAGTTTGAATGTTCATTGTTCGCAGAGAGAGAGAGAGAGAGAGAGAGTCTGTTAATCGAACTGGTTCCAGACGTATCGATTAAATCTAGCAAATGTAATGATTCTCAAATAAATAAATAAATAAATATACATGTTGCTAGAGTTTAAAGTGCGTTGCATACTTCATTTATGCTGCGTATCCGTCAGCCATAATATTAATAATAAACATTGTACAGACGATGTCAAGTCAACGCGTTTGTAGGTCAACCACAAAAATGTTAATAATTCCATAACCATGGTGCCCAAATTGAATGTTTGCAAATACGTTTAAGTTTCATTAAATACTGTTGTGTGCGGTAGAATTTTACTTTAAGGTTTTTTTTCTGATCTGTGAGTGTAAACCATGTCCTCGTCCTCTTACAACATAATACAATGTCCAAGTCCAACAACTAAGACAACCCCTGCACAGTCTGTGCCAGGTGCAACTGGAGACCGAAGTGCAGGTGTATCTTCGCACTGTGGCAACTACGACGAGCATGACAATAAGTTGATAAGTTTAATCAGTGCTCGCCACAACAATGGATCAGCGTCATCCGCTCCTGGCCCTGGCCTCCTGACCAATGGCACTGCTAGCGATAGAGAAATGCGTTGGTGGTGGTAAGTAAAAGAAGTAGTTGAATTAATCAGTGGGATTGCATATACGCGCACACGCCCTCATACATTCCAAAGAATAAATAGATATTTTTTACAATTGTAATCATTAGATTCGAATAAAATGAATAATTAGACAAGACTATTCGCCAATTACTGCGTTGTTTATATAACTTGGTTACCGTTGATTGTCTACTTGTTTTTTTTTTATTTATTTATATGTATACATACAAACATATATACTACCAGACAAATAAGCACCTGTAAAATAAGTCTCTCTGTTTGTCTCTCGCACGCTCTCTATTGATTATACGACGCGTGTCCAAAAATTGCTCAGCTTTTTACAACCTGATCGTTGCGATGATTGGAGACGATACTAAACTTTTATTTTCAAATCGTACAACAAATTATAATTTTATCACCTTTTTGGCGTTTCAGTTCAGTTATCGCTGGTTCATCAGACAGCACGGTTGTGTTTCGTGAGATCGGCGGAGCGCGCTCTCTTCTCTTTCCTTGCCTCTCTGGTGATACCTCTACCTATCTCGTGTCTTTTGTGTAGATTATCTCTCTCTCTGTCTCTCTCTCTTTCTCTTTCTCTCTCTCTCTCTTTCTCTATCTATCTCTGTCGGTCGGTCGTTCGCTCGCTCTCTTTTTCTCATGTCGGTCGTTGGCTTCGCTTGAAGCTAGGGCTAAAAGCTACGTGTGCTTAATACGCCATATTATATAATATGTAACCAAGTTACTTCTGTGTTTTGAATAGTCCTTCTATCTTAACATGAGCGTGCATTTAACTGAAACAATCTTGGGCGTTTACACGTGCAGCCCTCCTCGGCAATTTTTTTGTAAGAATCAATAAGACTTAGATTAGCCTCACTGATCAAGCCAACAATTACCCTCGAGTGAGTCTTGAGACTTGAGTCCCGAGTCTAGCTATCTAGTATACTAGATTATGTACTTGCTTTGTTTTCATAACATTTCTTTGTTCAATAGATCGCTACAAACCTGTTCGTTAATGTAATATTTGTTTTCTTTGTTTACAAGTTAAGTGCACAATTATTGTAATTAACAATTTTTATTTTTGAACCTAAATGCATTGCTTCCTATTTTCTATCAATAAATTGATCTGCCCAATTTCTTGATTTATGCACTCAAAAAATAATTTTGAAAAATAATAATTTATCATTGAAAATTACTTCATTCCTCATATAAGAACATAATTTTTTCTCAAAGGCTTCTGTCCTTTGTCAAAAATGATTCTCACAAGATGCTGATTAATGATTGATGATTGGCTCTTTGTTTTGCTTTCTTCCTCTTTTTCCTGCTCTCTTTATTGCTGAGATTTCTCGTTGGCTTGTTGACTGGAATTTTTATGCAAATACCGAAGGCAATTAGTTGACGTCAGAGCCGGAACTTGAGTAAAATTCATAAGCATTCAAAAGCTAAAAAGCAAAAACAAGAGGCAAAAACCTAATGTCTACGATTGCTGTTTTTTTTATCATTTGTATTATAAAACCTGTTGCAAAATAGCAACATATTACTTTGATATTTTCATTTAACATATAATTGACGCTCTTACCGTATTTTTGCTTCGCTTACCCTGCTGATTCGAGAGGCATCTGACTGACTCAATAATAAAATATTCGTGGTTTTTGTGAAGTTCGCTTTAACACTTTTCGAAAAAGGGAGCAAGGTTAAATCTGTTTACAATTTTGAGCAATCGGCCAGGGTCGTCTTTAGAGTGGTTTGATTAGTAGTCTGTAACGCCAAGAAAACGTGAAGCTAACGAAATACAATATTGCAGCTTGATCAAGTTTCCGCAAATGTGCTAAGAAATTGGAAAAGTGAATTTTGTTTAGTGATCTTTGAATTATTTGAGCCATGTCCTGCCGCTCGGACATCGATCTGGCCACTCTACATCAGCACCGCCTCGAAGAGCGCTGGAACTATGGCTTAACCTGGTGTGGAGCCCATGGAAGAAACCAGCAGCAGCAACAGTTGACCCACTACAATGAGTTGATCGCTCGTCAGAGCGCCAACCACCACCAGCATCGGCATCAGCACCAGCATCAACAGTTGGCCAACAGCAATTCGAGCAGTAGAACTGTCAGCAGGCTTAAAGATACCGTTGCCAAAGACCATCAAAATAGGCCGCTTCAGGGATTGGAGTACTATAGTAGTGACTATTTAACAGCTACGGCGCGTCGTAGACGCTCCGGCACTTGGCCGTAAGTAACAATAATCAAAACATAACGTCCTATGCTATAAGTGGACATACCCCAACAAGATCGCCTTCCGTTCGATTCACTGAACACTCGATTCATGTTGCGGATGATTTTCTTTCTCCTGTTTCGAGTGTCGATTACTTTTGGAATTATAAGTCGTTAATTGCGGCGCTACCCGTACACGTACAAAGATTGGGCGTGGGCCCGATAACAGTTCTCAGATTACGTACGTTGGGTGTAATCTAGCGTTACGAGATCCGAGTTCTGGCTACAATTGAAGTTTGTTCTGGGAGCTGCATGGGTTACATGATTAGATATCAATTATTCAAGTACTACTTTGCACCTAGCATATTTCGCCACTTCTTATGTGGTAACCTCCACTGCACATATTTTTATACCCTGAACCCATTGAAAATGGGAAATCAGGGTATAATGTTT